CTTTAAATGTTTCTCGAATTGCATGTGCTTCTCTTTGAAAATTGCCACCCTGTCTTGCCACAGGTACTATGCCCTAAAAGACTAGTTCTAAAACTCCTAAAATAAACTACATGCCACAAAAATTATATTTCGACTGATAAACTGAAGCATACCGATTTGGTGAGCGTTTCCGGACTGCGATGCCGTGCCGATCCGATCCGATCCGATTCAATGGGCGCCCTGCTTAAGAAGAATATACAGGGAGTCAAAAATAGTGCTCCAATCTTCAGTAGGTTATTGTATAAATAAAACAAAAACAGTTCCTAAGGATATATGCCTTAAAATGCTTCCCGAAGAAATGATATATAAAAATTATATATTTTGTTTATTTTTAAGGACATTGGTGGACAGTTTTTCTTGAAATTTGGTGTTAGGTTATAGGAATAGGTTATACGTGTGGTTATAGGTTGAGTCGATTTTAGTATTAGGGAAGTCATGATGTAATGAAATTTCTGATAGGAAATTAGTAGGAATTTGAATGGATACGATCTAAAATTTTACAAGATGTTTCAAGTGAAGGCTGTAAATAATAAAGCCGCAACTTCCTCGGGAAGGATCTTAGGACCTATTAGAGACCTATATGGGTCTAAATATTCAAGCGCGAGCCCGACTTAAAAAATGACTAAGCCCGGCTGGCCCGGCCCGAACAACCCGAAGTAATAGCATGAATAACAATGACAGTATAGATTTATTTTTATTATAGTAAAAAAAAATAATTTAGAGTGCCATGGTCATAAATGTAACGACCGTTTGACTTGAAATACCAAGTGTGCCAAGTGATTCGTGAAAAATGCCTTTTCCAAATATGCTAATGAGCCATCCTCTTTCCATTTTTTGAAAAAATTGAGTTATGATTAAAAATAAGATTTGGGATCTTTTAACCTTTGCCTTAAGATTTGCCTCTATTGGTACGTGTTTTCAAGTTGCGCGCGCTCTGCGCGCAAACAGCTAGCCGCGCACCATCTCGAGTCGGTTTTTCGACGCTCCGCTTTTTTTTCTATGTTTGTTGTTCAACTGGGACAGCGCGGCCGGTGAAGACACCGCGCACATTTATCAGTGACTATGTATGTTTTCTTTGAATAAATTCACTTTTTTGTGTTTTTCTTTGAATATTGTTTATTAATGGAGTGTTTAAAGAGTCGCACTACTCATGATTAAAATTGCGTAGTTCTTCTTTGACGATAGAGACATGATTAACGACTAGAAGAATGTTCGCGGGATTTCTATGGATTGCGGGATGTTCGTTAAAACAATAAAAGTAACGCGCGGCCAACGCTAGGCGCGCGCGCTGCGCGTTCACGGCGCAGCGCACCAATGTATACGTACCATTAAACGATCAAATCTATTTTTCCAATATTCCTTGATCAAAAATAGGTATTTTTAATACAGCCTCTATAGATTAAAATTTAAAATACAATTTTTTAAGCAAGAATGTCAAAATGGTCAAAAGTTTACATATGATATGTCATTCTATTCAAAGTGTAATTTTCTATCAAATAAAGCAAAAAAATACCCAGGTTGCCATTTAAAAATTAAAAGGTGTAGTTATTTCCGGTGAAACAGGAAGTGAACAAAAACAATTGAATACATCAAACAATCCTGATTTATGTCATAATATACTCTCGTTTACCTATTTATTTGAAAACATAAAAAAATTATAGGTGTGAGCCACTTTTGAGAAACACCCGGTATATCTAAATAATTTTATATTTCCAATAAAAACGTAACTGAGCCATGCTAAAGCGCATTTCACAGCTGAATTAGGAAGTAGTTGAGACATGAAAGTCAGGTCATAAAACACTTTCGTGGGTAAATCCGGGACTCGTAATTTCTATCGCACGCATGTATTTATTACAACTTCACGATTTACATATGAATTACTAAAATAGAATCGACACAAAAGACCGTATAAGACAGTACTATAACTAGCAGCGCCATCGAACAATGCTGTTCGGCATTAGCAATTTTACCCTTTCTCTAAACCGACTTATAGCTACATAAACAGTGAAAATCTTCATTGTACCAGTCGGTGGTTATTCAATTTCCCAAAAAAAAAAACTGTTACATCCAGTAAAAATCAAAGTAAAAAGGTTTCTTTTTTTTAACTCTTAAAAGAAACAATTTTACGCCATGAAATACAGCATAACTGAATGATAACAAACAATTTTTTTCTGTAAAATATGCATAAGAGTCCACTTCCTAGTTATCCCGTTTTAGTTGATTCTAGAAGCAGTGTGTTCCTAAACCGTTTGACTTTCAAAAGCCACTGTAATTTAAGTTAACCATAAAAATCCAGTAGAACTTGAAATCTTTCAGAATTAAACTAAAGTGAATCCCTGATGGTTCTAATGCTAATCTCTTAACATATGTTTTCAGATAAGGCATTTAAAGAGAGATGCTTTTATACTTTTAAAAGCTCTTTTTAGGCATCGTTAAACCCAAGTCTTATGTATACACATGGGAGAGATTGTATATTAATACTGTTTTCTCATTGGCTTATAAGCTCCATAGATGTACACTGAAAAAAAGTGTGGCCTATTAGTGTTAAGGCCAAGATTGCTTACAGAAATAATGAAATTATAAATATCTGCATTAGAATTTATTAAAATTCAAAGCAAGCTTGATCAGAAAATTTACTGATATTACGATATTTTGTATCTTGTTCTAGTGATACCTACTGATCAAAGTAAAAAAAATTATAAAATAATAAATATATCTTTTTCTATGGAAAGAAAAAAAATAATTCAGCAACAAAAATAAGAAAAATGTGATGAAGTTTTAAAAACAGTACAAGAAAGTCCCTAATTAAAATTTCTGAATATTAATTAGAATCCGGCAAAGAAAATTATAATTATTGATATATTACACATATTATAGAGAATAGGGCTCAATTTAGAGAATTTAAAATCCCTTTGATTTTGAAAATGTCATCTACTTTACATATTAAACCCCTTTTTTGAAGTGACTTTTAAGCTTCTCTGAATACCAAAAATATTTCAATTTTTAACAGTTTATTAGAAATTTGCGGAAATAGAGATTACAACTTAAAAATGTCTAAAATACTTAGTTAACTTTTTCTCATATTGTGTACAAATATTCTAAAAATAAAAATATTGTGTAAAAGTTTAGTATTAATAGGTACAAGGTGTCCCAGAAATAAGTGCAATTATTTTAACTGGTAGCTCAAACTCAGAACCACGCTTATGAGGTTTTTTTCACGATTTTTTTTGAAAATTCGGAATTTTTTGAAAAATTTTTTGGATTTTTTTTTAGTTTTTAGTTAAAAAACATAATTTCTTGATAATATGGCAACATAGGTAGTAGATTAAATTTACAAGAAAGAAAATCCAAAAAAGATCCAGTGGTTCTCAAAATTTGAGCAAAAAAATATTTTTTTGCAAATTTTCAAAGTAAAATACGTTATTTTGGACTTATTTGAAAAACCATAAAGAGAAAATATGTTTCTTTTATCGAGATATACCACCCCTTAAAGTACTTGCACTTATTTCTGGGACACCCTGTATAGTAAAAAGAAAATGTGCTAAACCTGGCTATATCTCTCACGAAAATATTTAGAAATAGACAATATAGCTGCAAATTATATACAGATAAAATAAAATAGAGAAGTTTAGAACTCTAGAATATTCTAAAATTAAATTCTCTGTGTTCCTGTAGGTAAATGTTTAATTTGTTCATGACAATTTATGTAACTAAACCGTTTGACTTCCAAGAAGCCACTGTAATTTAAATTGGTCGTAAAAATCTTGAAGGAACTAAATTTTCCAAGAGTAAATTAAGGCTAATACCCTCTCTAAATATTTTGAACACTTATCTTTTACGTGTTTCTTCTTATAATGTACTTTGAAGAAAATACACACAGATTTTTAAAAATTACTGCATTCTACGTGTTTCTAGTTACATGACGTTACTGATTAAAACAAAAAAAAATCATATAAGCTCTGTTAAAACAAAAAGAAATCTGGAACATTTCTATACAATATTATGAATTTTTACTAACGTACCTAATAATACTGTTAAACGCATGTTAGTTGATAAATATATTTAATTAATTAAAAGAAAAACTAAAAACTCTTCCAAAAATAAACTGCATAATAACTGAATCCAAAAATATTTAAATTAAATACCTAGAGTAAAGTAATTGAAAAGAATTCCATTACTTTAGTGTATTGAAATTTCACAATGATTTTCCCTCAATCATTTATTGTTAGTATGCACTATAAATGAAGCAATAACTATTTTCGAATTTATTTTTCAGACTTTTTCGCTTTTCTTCTATAAACATTAACAAATGAAATTTGTTATTCAAAACAAGCCACGCCATTATGCACAATAGAAAGAAAATTAAAATGGTGGGTAGGTACTCATATTATGTAAGGTCTATATTTATTCTATTAAATAAATGTAAAATAAATTACTTTTCAGATATATTTTATTCATAAATATCGTTTCGTATTTGTCCAATACCGTAGCATTTGTTTTATTATATTATTTATTTATTAAAAGTTTTTTTTTTCATTCAGACGGATTTTTTTCATTATTACGTTATTGGTTATTAAATGGCTAAGATGTAGTTAAATATATAAAAAATGGTCCATGACATGATCTAGGAAATAAAATATAATCTACAAACACTAATAAGAGACGAGGGCCTTCAATATTGTTAATGTTTTGGTCTGATATATGTTACGGGTAAGGTCCGAAATAAAGTTAATCTCAATATTAATCGGTTAATCTGGAGAATATCATAAAACAAAAAGACCAAAAACAAAACCTAACCCAAAAATTAACGTGTTAGGTCGATATTAACTGATATTAACTCCATTTCAGACTTTAACCGTAACATATTATGTTGAGCTAACTATTCAAGTTCAGCATTAGTAAAAAACAAACCATTTAAACTTCTATAAACTATTCAATATAAAAATAAATAATTATCCTACCTTGCTATCTCAATTATATCACACATTTGCACTATTCAAACTGCACGCGCTACTTCTGCTACTACTCAAAACTTAATACACAATAGAAGCAAAACACTATCTGGAAATATATTTGTCATTATTGTAAAAAGCTCAAAACAAATTCTCAATTTTTTGCTACATTTATTTACTCGTTGCTAGGTTACCGCGTCAAGGCCTAGTTAAGTTGAAGGCCTGGACAATAACAATTTCTTTTTACTTCTATGTAAAGGACAATAATGTTAAAGGGCTGTTTTTATCTTCTATATTATAATTGAATATTTTCTATTAAAGAAATATATGTTTAAGCATATTATAAATTGTAACGGAGAAATAATTCAGTGTTTATTAATAAAATATCTATCGGAGTCTAGATATGGTTCGCCAATACAGCACTTGTTATTATATTTTATATACTTATATTCGCCGTATTTGATATCCTAAATATTAACGATAATACTACAAAATCTTGCTTTTATGGTTTAGCCTATTAAAAAAGAATGACCATATTTGTCCTTATCACAACGTAATTAATAACTCTCCTAACAATTATATCTGATAAATTAAATTTTCGAGAGCATGATTATTCGTCAGATATGATTTATTATGCAGTTAATTATACTTTTGGATTAGACTTACTGAGTGCTAAATTAATTGATCATTCCATTTCATTAGAACGGCAAACTGAATACCCTTATTCGAATGAATCCATGAAAGGGGCCGAGGAATAGATTTTCGTTTCTAGTATTGTTTTATATTCTGAAACATGTTATTAATTAAAGGATCGGTGTCATAAGCAATGGAAGGTCTCCACGAAAGGGTTACTTAAATGGGTATAATGGAGAGAGCTCAATTTTAGAGCAGAATTTAATGATTTTTTACGTTTTACATTTTTTTAATCTAAAAGAGATTATAATTAGTTCTAAAAATTGTAGTAGACATGCAATTTAGATAAAAATGCATACCAGACAATAAACATCTTGACCGGCTAACCTGTGCTTCAAGAAATTCACTTAAAGCAATATGAATTTATGTAGAAATTTTGAAACTTTAATCTAGCTTTTTACAAATAAATATCCGTACACAAGCCACTTGAAGGTTGCATTCGAAAAAAGTTTCTTGGCTCACAGTCAAAACAGAAAAAACTTCAAGCAATTTTAGTTTTGCAAAGCCACAATTCAAACATATACAATGAAAGTAATATATCTATTGCTGTTTTTTTTTATAGAGAAAATGATTTTGTTGAGGGCAAAAGATACAGTTTGTTCAAATTAATAGAATGTCATGATAGGCGTAGAAATGAAATTCTAGAATGTAACTAGAGTAATCCCATTTTGTTCCGGGAAATAGAATAATACGATCAAAAACATAGAGTGGACAAAAATGTCAAGTCTCGCAAGACAATTCTTCCATTACAAAAATTATTAGATCTCATATGTAAGGGTATGGATACAAAGAAAGTTGGTTATAAGCGCTTATTACCAGCGCCGAAAACCAGCGCCTACAATAGTACATAATGAACATTAGAAATTAAATTATTATTTCTTTCATTTGAGAATATACTAAGAACTGGCAAAGGTTAGTCTTGGGTCGAGATTTCCGTATGTAAGAAGAGTACAATGCGTTTATTATAATGTACTGAACAAAAAAAAAGAGAAGACAGTAAACACGTTACCAAAAGTATGAAATAAACCGAGAAACTGTGCACATCGCTAAGAGACGTGGAAGGGGATATAGCAGATTTGTCGCAGTTGATCGGTCGACCCAATCAATACCTCTGTCAGTACTTAAAGTTCTAGTGAAGGGTGTACGTCATGCGTTCAACTTCACGATTTACGTCTCGTGATACTTAATTATTTGTTTATTTATTAACCAGTCGTTGTAATTTTCCCTATAGCTTGAATTTTTTTAAGTCCACTTGCATTTTTGGTAAAAATAAGTGGAATTGAGTGGGTGTTCGATAGTGGTCGCGCTATTAGAACTCAAAAATCGATATCCCGAAATCTATTAGAAATAATAGATTGTAGTTTTTTCAAGAACTTTGTTAACATTTCTGCTGTATTTTCTTTGTAGACAGTATGTGAAAATCTTTATCAATAAAAAAATGACACGATTGCTGAAAATTGCTATGGTCTAAAAATAAATGGATGGATTGTTTACAATAATTTTTGAATGGAAAAGACCTTATCGAAGTTTTCTTATGTAAACATATTGTAAAATATCCGATCTTGAAAATAAAAAAAGTTTCAATATCTAAATTGGTTCTTGAGTTATGGCCCGTTATGTGTTAAAAAGTTGAGTTTTTAAATTATCGCGATTACTGACGTTTGCTCGTTATAAAAAAATGACACCTTAACGATATCCTTATAATTCCATTTCAGATGCTCAGAAACATGTTTAATGATTTTATCTAGTTATCACTTGAAAAAAAGTCTTTTAAAAACAAGCGGTTTGCGATCGTGATTTTACTTTACTTGATAGGGAAAGGCGTATGGCAACGCCGCAACAGCACACCGTCGCGCGTCGCGTCGGTCGGTCGCATTTATCTCACTCCGACTTAATAAGATCCCTATGCGATTTACTTCCACACATGTTAAAGCCGACCCAAAAGTAACAGTTGCCAGCACGGTATATTATATCGTAGTCTTATAGTGTATTCCGTCTTTTCATGCAGATCTTATGTCACTTCATGAAGGTTAGGAGTTTAGTTATGTTATTAAGTTAGTTTTGTTCATTAAGTGGCTAGGATCTTCATGAAAACACGAAATACACTATGAGACTACGACATATATATTTTTAAAAAATCCCAAAAATTCGGAATTATTAAAATAAGACCCTTTCCAGATTTTATAAATAAAAGGAAATACAGCATTCAAAATCGACTTTTTATACAAGTAATCTTGGAGGTATAAGACAGCTGTTGAAAAAAAGTCCCAGGAGTATACCTAAAGAAATGTGACCGGTAAAAGGCCCCATCGCTAAAAAACAAAGAGAAGAAACCCTATATAATCCGAAAATAATAAAATATTATGGTGGCACATAAGAATAATATAGCTATGCCTCTACGTGAGGAATGTACTGATGGCAGTAATATATTGATTTGTCGAAGTTACATAAAAAATAAACGAATCTAAAATTACCGAGCTTTTTGTTTTCGATTTCATATAAAATTTTAACCGTAGCTTTGCGAATTTCGTCCAAGATACCGTATCTTACTTCATCCTTAGTTTTATGAAAGCTGTATAAAGTTTTACGTATTAGTAGTAAGATAACTTCCATTTAGTGTTAAGGTTACAGAACCCATATATTCCGTTTTACAGATTTGTTATAGCTCACAATAAAACTCTCTCTATGTTGTCTTTTATTTCTTCTAAAAGCACTGAGATACGAGAACTTATTATATATTAGTTAACTTATTAGTTTTAATGCTACTTTTATTCCTGTTATATTAAAAGAAATCTACTTTCGTTGATTTAAATAGTAGTTTATGAGAACACTGTAGCTTCTCTATAGATATTACGAATTAGTGGCATATTTTCAAATATAGAGCCAAATAACAAGCCAATATATAAATCTTCAATACGACACAATTAGAAAATATTGATAATAAATGTTAAAAAATTGAAAATACCACTTGGTGTACGATGCAGTAACAATTATTTTCAAAATATAAGTAAAGTTTTTTTTTTCACAACAAGGGGCCGGGCTGTCCTCTGTCGGAAACACTGCGACCTGTGAGGCATGTTGTGTTTATCCCCTTTCTATGTCTGCACCCATTCTCCTATCCCTGTGCCCTGCACTTATGCAGGTCCTTGATAGGATGGGAGCATAGTTCTTCCGGTTCTAGCCTAGCTTTCCTAAATAAAAAGTGTCGCTTGCGAGCCAGAGCCTCGCAGTGACATATTATGTGCTCCGCTGTTTCAGGATCTTTATCGCAGAGTCTGCAGCAAAGACCTACTTGAGACAGGTTGAGCTTGTTCAGGTAACACTTGACAGCCATGTGTCCTGTCAAGAGGCCTGTTGTAATCCGCACTTTATTCCTGCTAAGCATTAGCAGTTCTTTTGCGGTTTTACAGCTAAGTCCTTGGATAAAAGCCTTGATGGGCCTGTGCCCCTGTCTGTTTCTCCAGTGGACATTCTGCTTTTCCCTGATCCAGAGTTTTAGTGCACTACGGGCCATACATTTGGGTATTCCCAGTACTGGTTCTGGACCAAGATAGGATGCCGATGATCCTTGCCTAGCTAGCTCTTCGGCTTTTTCATTGCCTTGGATGCCGCTGTGGCCCGGCACCCAGAATAATTTAATTCTCTTCCTTCGAGCCAGAGCTCCTAGTTCACCTAGGCATTCCCAGACGAGTCTCGACGATACGTTTGCGCTCATAAGCACCCCAAGTGCCGCCTGACTATCTGAGCATAATTGATGAGTTTACCTGAATAAGCTCTTCTATTGTTTTCTCTCGCACATTGTAGAATGGCGAAGATTTCTGTCTGGAATACGGTTGAGTGTTTACCAGATTAAAATTCATTCAGATTAAAAATGACTTAAGAAAATATTGATTGTTGTTCCCGGGTATCATTCATGTATTATTAACCTCTAGAAGCAGAATATTTCTCCCGTTTTAATTCAATATTCTTTTGGTAATATAATTCTAATTATTTATATATTAAGGATGGCAATCTTTATTTATTTTTATTTATTAAAAAAAGCTATAGGAAACTTTTTCGATTTAAATGGTAATGGAGAAACCCATAATGAAAAGACATAAATTATTTGTAAGTCACTTTAATTAAGGACTTTATTTAGATTGGGCCACTATTGATTCGCAACTTTGTCTAAAAGCAAATTATTTTCATTTTCTTGCTCTCGCGTAGCGAATAGCACATTCGTTTTAAGAATAAAGATCAGTTTTTTTATACATATAGAACTCTAATAAATAATTCTGGAACAGAGGAAAATGTAAGACAATAAATAAATAAATATATTATATTTTATTTTATTAACATCGGCCTCATAGAGCACAAGTTCATAGGAACGTTCGCTTTGTTTTTCGCACCTAAGTTTGGTACACTATTTTT